ATATACATCTTCGTGCCTATTTTCTACATTTCAATTGTGTTTAGTTTATATTAAATCTTCCCGAAACAGTTTTAGAAAATTTCAAGTTGTTGCTTTAGCGCTTCACCAGAGGCAGGAGACACGCCTGCTGCACCAGAGGCAGAGACACGCCTGCTGCACCAGAGGCAGAGACACGCCTGCTGCACCAGAGGCGGAGACACGCCTGCTGCACCAACCATTAGTGGGTATAACCTTGATAAAATATCTTTCCGTGAGCTTGTGCAACACCAGGAAAATTTTCTGAGTTAACGCATAATAATAATATATTACGATTTTACCCTAATGATAATTTAAGCAAATGTGATGCTCCAAGAAGAGGTGTACCTACATATATATATATATATATATATATATTATATATTATATATATATATATATATATATATATATATATATATATATATATATATATATATATATATATATACACGTATATATATCAATAACAACACTGCTGTAGCCAAGGATTTGAACCCATGTTGTACTGGTCCGCCTTATGGTGAGTGAGAACCACAAGACGCCTTAACCCACGTCGTGTGACGTCATGTGGCGATATGTGGGTCTCACTCACCATAAACCGGGCCAGTACAACAGGGAAATCGACCTGACGACAATGGAGGAGAGGAAGAGGAAGAAGAGACATGATTACGACACATAAAATACTGCGAGGAATTGACAAGGTGGACAGAGACAAAATGTTCCAAAGATGGACACAGTAAAAAGGGGTCACAATTGGAAGTTGAAGACTCAGATGAGTCAAAGGGATGTTAGGAAGTACTTCTTCAGCCATAGAGCTGTCAGGAAGTGGAATAGTCTGGAAAGTGATATAGTGGAGGCAGGATACATACTTAGTTTTAAGATGAGGTATGATCAAGCTCATGGAGCAGGGAGAGAGAGGACCTAGTAGCGACCAGTAAAGAGGCGGAGCCAGGAGCTATAAATCGACCCCTGCAACCACAATTAGGAGAGTACACACACACACACACACACACACACACACACACACACACACACACACACACACACACACACACACAAACACACACACACACACATATCGTAGGGGTTCATAAATGGAGATATCGAGGGTTGAAGGTAGACACACTTGTTGGATGGTTACGATATATTGTCAAACTGAGATGATGGGAAATGGAGCCCAGTGCCTTGCCTGTCTTCGCCTAGGTGTCTACGCCGAGTGAGACCGGGGCAGACGTACGAGCGTACACACAAAGTCACAGGCCTACAAGGGATCTCCTATCTAAAGCACATGGATGATACTAATATGCTATGCTATATAACACAGGGATCAGCAACTATGCTGACAGCTCGGTCATGTTACGTATGTCGTCTCGACATACACTACTATCTATAGGCTGAAACAGGCAGGCGGATCTGGGCTGATTCTATACAATAACAAATTCATATATAACTTAGAACTAATGGATGGTATCATAATGGATGTTACAACATGAGTTTTACGTAATAGGTGTTAACGTAATCACTTTTAACGTAATGCATTACAAACTATAAGAACAAATCATTGTACAATATGGATGGAATTGATCGATCGATCTGTATTCATGCACTCTACGGATTCTGAGGAAGAATAAATATATATATACAAGGTGAAATTAACAGCAAAGGCATCTGGTGCACTCAGACTATTACTGTCAAATTCTCAGAATACGGAGGGAACGTGAACACGAAAATTTCTGACAACTGATCAGTTAATGACAAAACGCACAGTTGATAATTTCATTCATCTCGGACATCTAATTATACAGGCTGTTTACACTTAAACCCAATTCTGCGAGGGTGAGGTTTACGTATGCAGAATGGTTATCATCTCTGGGAGGATCGAATTCCTCTGCAATGGCTAACACATGCCTTGACTGAGGACAGTCTGAACGAGTATCTACAAAAGATACAGCTACAATCACTAGTGACTGTGGAATTACTAACTCGTCTGCTAGGAGAATTACTCAACTCGACTATTCGATACAGTAATTCTTGGCTCATTACAAAGTCACTAATGGGTGCTGGTGGCTTCACAGTCAGAATAAGATCTTCCTGGAGCAGGAATCGAATCACACCAGACCACATGGGATCTGTTCTTTGAGCATTCTTTACATCTTCAGCACTAAATGGAGGGTCTGCAGTTACTATACTAACATGTCGCGATAAGGCATCTGCGTCTACATTTGACTTGCCAGGTAAGTGTTCAAAGGTGGGATTGAACTCTTGGATAGTCAATGTCCATCTGGCTAACCTTCCAGTAGGCTGAACGTAATTATACAGTAACTGAGCAAGAAGCTTTAGCAATAGTATGGTCTTTAAAGCACTTCCGAGACATTATTTATCAGTACTCTGTTCATGTCCTGACAGACCATGCTCCACTGATACCTTTATTCCAGAACAAACAACCTACTGGAAGGTTAGCCAGATGGACCTTGACTATCCAAGAGTTCAATCCCACCGCTGCCACCATTTATCGTAGGGGTTCTTAAATGGAGATATCGAGGGTTGAAGGTAGACACCCAGGCGAAGACAGGCAAGGCACTGGGCTCCAGTTCCCATCATCTCAGTCTGACAATATATCGTAACCATACAACAAGTGTGTCTACCTTCAACCCTCGATATCTCCATTAAGAACCCCACGATACACAAACACACACCACACACACACATACACGCACAAACACACACAACACACACACACCACACACACACCACACAACACACACACACACACACACACACACACACACACACACCAAAACACACACACCACACACACACACACACACACACACACACACACAAACACACACAAACACACACACACACACACACACACACCACACCACAAACACACACAAACACACACACACAACACAACACACACACACACCACACACACACACACACACAACACACACACACACACACACAACACACACACAACACCACACACAACACACACACACACGCACACACACAACCACACACACACACACACACACACACACACACACACACACACACACACACACACACACACACACACACACACACACACACACACACAACACACACACACAACACACACACATACACACACACACACACACACACACACACACACACACACACACACACCACACACACACACACACACACACACACACAACACACACACACACACACACACACACATACGAAACTGCTCAGTAATTTCATGACTGTACGTTCACCGTTAAGTCTAAAAGAAAAAGACGCTTGTTCAATACCTGGGTATTTTTACCTGTAGACCTTCCGCCATCTTGTGGCTTAGTCAGTACATACATGGACATAAAATGAAAATTGTAGAAATATATACAGTAGACAGTGGAAGATGAGGTAATCAGTCCCTCAGCTTAAGAGCAAGTGATGAGCAAGTGATGCTCATCACTCTCACACACCTGTGTGGTAATAATGATGTCGGAGTGGGCACAGGTGACGAGTGAAGTCCATAAACTAGCAGTGCTCGGACCCTGCTGCTGAGGTAAAAAAAAATATCTCCCAGAGGGAATTAATCTGGAGTATCCTTGTATGCAGGTGATGTGAAATTAATGTGGAAAAGTTGCAGTACCATACTGGTAGTGCAATCTGATTGGTTAATTCCATCAAATAACACAAGAGCGCCTCCTGATTGGTTGATTCAGCCATCCAATACCATACAGGTAGAATGTGGCTACATAACATACTACTACATACCAGTACTAGTATGTGGTAGCATCTTGCCATATACGATACCACATAATTCCATACCACATAGAATAAATATCATCTTCATTGTAAATGTTAACTGTGTAATATTGAAACCAGAAAACCATTGGTCAGGAAACAGAACAAGTAACCCTGACGCAGGTCAGGACCCAGAGCTGAAGCATTTGGTCATGTGGAAAATTGCATTTATTTGAATGTAACTCATTATGTACATAACAGTAAATGATAACAAAGATAATTATTATTTATCAAAGTTACATAGACAAGTAGGAATTTGGGACACCTAGGTCGCAAAAATGTCCCCCTTCGATACCTACAACTGTCATATCCACAAGTTGCTCTAGACCTATTAATTACAAATGAAATATGCATCACCAGGAATTCTGGTAAATATTTGAATTTGTGGACTGTATATTAAAATTAATGATGCTTATATATATACACATTTATATAACAGAAGGAGAATATCTTAATATCACTCACCAATTTGACTGGAGATAAAGGTGTATCATACTCAGAAAACCTCACTGTCTATCCATGAAAATAACACTGGCCAGAGTTATAAGCATAAACAAACTTATCTGAGGTTCCTGGAGCTGTCTTCTCCAGTCGCCTGATATCTCAAGTTATGCAGGAATGCACATCCAACAATTTCGCCTCCTATTTGAGAGGTGTCAACCCAATTTTAACCTCTAGAGCACGAAAAATTCTTATTTTCACTAACGTTTTCTTGACTCAATTCAAAAAACAATGGCGAGTCCTTTCTGCGCAGGCGCAGGCTTCCCATTTTTTATGACAAATTTTTATTAAATACAGTATATTACACAAATTTACATAAAAAATACTGTATTTTTTCTGGAAAATACATTATTTTCCACAGGTCATGTGACTGAGGCTTTCCACTGGCTTACCCGTCAACCCCTTTAAAAATTGTGGTTATAGTTTTTAAACATTGGTTGGTTAATAAAGGAGGTAAAGCCTAATGATATACAATCATTTAGACAGCTTATAACCTCACATTACCCACCAAGGATACTTGAATTTCTTAAATGGTGAATCAAGTACACTCAGTGAACGCACACCGAGACACATATATTTCTATGTAGTCGTAAAAACCTTTTTTCAATAACTAGTTAATTCTGTAGAGTGTATGACTGGGCAGTAATGTACACATTATGAAGAGTAATAAAACATTATATTGTTATGCTATTTATTTATGCTTAGATCTCATTTATAGTAAATTGGAAGTAAAATCTCATGGTAATGAGAATTAAATTCTCATGGTAACCGCTCTTGTTAAAAAGTCGAGAGTGTGATGGTGGTTACGGTGACATCCTGATGAACAGGTGGTGGTCTTGACAGTCTACCAGCTGGGAGTTGGCAGCGACAGAGGGTGAAGGACGGTCGTCTGGCATCAACACTTCGAGTTGTCCTTAACACAGATTCCTTGACCTCTTTTCGTTTCCTTTTGACAGGTGAGACAGTCACCGCATTTCCCATACATGTCCCATGATCCTCCACACGCCTCGTTTGGTCCCTGTAACACACACAAGGTTGTTCACATGTTCCATTTTTCAGGGCATGATACCCAGTACCCCGAAAAAAACACGCAGGACAGCAACCATACAAGCACACGAAGAAGTGAGCATGTTATTGAACAACACAAACACTTACGTGTGATGTTCATGAACATATTAAAAAGCAAAAAGAGATTATGAGGTTAAAGTTGCAAGAGAATCGAAGACTAACCCAAAAGGATTCTTTCAGGTATACAGAAGTAAGATCAGGGACAAGATAGGCCCACTCAAAAGTTCCTCGGGTCAGCTCACTGACAGTGATAAGGAAATGTGTAGAATTTTTAACACATACTTCCTCTCAGTTTTTACACAGGAGGATACCGGCGATATTCCAGTAATGATAAATTATGTAGAACAGGACGATAATAAACTGTGCACTATTAGGGTCACAAGTGACATGGTCCTTAGGCAAATAGATAAATTAAAACCTAACAAATCCCCAGGCCCTGATGAACTGTATGCAAGGGTTCTAAAGGAATGTAAAGAGGAGCTTAGCACACCTTTGGCTAATCTTTTCAACATATCACTACAAACTGGCATGGTGCCAGATAAGTGGAAGATGGCAAATGTGATACCTATTTTCAAAACAGGTGACAGGTCCTTAGCTTCGAACTATAGACCAATAAGCCTAACCTCCATAGTGGGAAAATTTATGGAATCAATAATTGCCGAGGCAGTTCGTAGCCACCTTGAAAAGCATAAATTAATCAACGAATCTCAGCATGGTTTTACAAAGGGGCGTTCCTGCCTTACGAATTTATTAACTTTTTTCACTAAGGTATTTGAGGAGGTAGATCATGGTAATGAATATGATATTGTGTATATGGACTTCAGTAAGGCTTTTGACAGGGTCCCACATCAGAGACTATTGAGGAAAATTAAAGCACATGGAATAGGAGGAGAAATTTTTTCCTGGATAGAGGCATGGTTGACAAATAGGCAGCAGAGAGTTTGCATAAATGGGAGAAATCAGAGTGGGGAAGTGTCACGAGCGGTGTTCCACAGGGGTCAGTGTTGGGCCCCCTGCTGTTCACAATCTACATAAACGACATAGATGAGGGCATAAAGAGCGACATCGGCAAGTTTGCCGATGACACCAAAATAGGCCGTCGAATTCATTCTGACGAGGACATTCGAGCACTCCAAGAAGATTTGAATAGACTGATGCAGTGGTCGGAGAAGTGGCAGATGCAGTTTAATATAGACAAATGCAAAGTTCTAAATGTTGGACAGGACAATAACCATGCCACATATAAACTAAATAATGTAGATCTTAATATTACGGATTGCGAAAAAGATTTAGGAGTTCTGGTTAGCAGTAATCTGAAACCAAGACAACAGTGCATAAGTGTTCGCAATAAAGCTAATAGAATCCTTGGCTTCATATCAAGAAGCATAAATAATAGGAGTCCTCAGGTTGTTCTTCAACTCTATACATCCTTGGTTAGGCCTCATTTAGATTATGCTGCACAGTTTTGGTCACCTTATTACAGAATGGATATAAATTCTCTGGAAAATGTACAAAGGAGGATGACAAAGTTGATCCCATGTATCAGAAACCTTCCCTATGAGGATAGACTAAGGGCCCTGAATCTGCACTCTCTAGAAAGACGTAGAATTAGGGGGGATATGATTGAGGTGTATAAATGGAAGACAGGAATAAATAAAGGGGATGTAAATAGTGTGCTGAAAATATCTAGCCTAGACAGGACTCGCAGCAATGGTTTTAAGTTGGAAAAATTCAGATTCAGGAAGGATATAGGAAAGTACTGGTTTGGTAATAGAGTTGTGGATGAGTGGAACAAACTCCCAAGTACCGTTATAGAGGCCAGAACGTTGTGTAGCTTTAAAAATAGGTTGGATAAATACATGAGTGGATGTGGGTGGGTGTGAGTTAGACCTGATAGCTTGTGCTACCAGGTCGGTTGCCGTGTTCCTCCCTTAAGTCAATGTGACCTGACCTGACTAGGTTGGGTGCATTGGCTTAAGCCGGTAGGAGACTTGGACCTGCCTCGCATGGGCCAGTAGGCCTTCTGCAGTGTTCCTTCGTTCTTATGTTCTTATGTTCTTACATGTGTTCCGAATCGGGTGTTTTTCAAAGCGAAGGTAGGTAGGTAGGTAGGTAGGTAGGTAGGTAGGTAGGTAGGTAGGTAGGTAGGTAAGTAGAAAGGTAGGTAGATAGAAAGGTAGGTAGGTAGAAAGGTAGGTAGGAAGTAAAGGTTGATCAAGACAGAACAATTGTTTCCTGAAGCGGTGTAAGTCATATGATAACCAACAACTGGAGCTTTTGATCATCTGATCGAGGCCTTCCGCTGGGCTACCGGTTCACCCCTTTAAAAATTATTAGATTATAAAGCAAGAGATATAAAAAGCCCATTTTTTCCCACATAAAAAGAATAACAGATTCAAACAATCAAGTACACAATAAATACAGTCACACTATCACTCACAAAACTAATCCACGTAACTCTGACATACCTTTGGCTCACAGTATCTTTTATTAATATATAGCAAATGCTTCTCTGTCTCGAAAGAAATCATAGCACTGCGAAGCCTCCGAATATGACAATGACTATCTAAACTTAACAGAGTTATTGGTCTCTTGACACATGACACTGCCTTTGATGATACCCTGGTCACTAACCACCCACCTTGCCACAGATGTCACAACAATTACAGATGTCCTTGACGGTGCCCCAGGGACAGTTCAAGGTGCTTGGGTCACTGCAGGGATGCCTTGTTCCACACGGCATACAGCGCAGCCCAGAGCAACTGAGAAATATCCAAGAAGATCATTACTGTGCTTCTTACTAGGCGGGTCCTCCCCACTGACCACTGTCTAGTTACATTCCAGTTGAAAAAACCAGGTGATATACATACCTATATAATACTAATTATAAACCCAAAATATGATTAGTCTGTATTTTAATACGTTAAAACCTCTTCAGTTACGAAAAACAAAACATGTAATACAATATCCAGAGAACTCACCGTTTTATTTCATGTTAAGCGTTCAACTCACTAAACCTTAATTAAGAGACACATTGAGAAGGCTCAGCTGGCCACAGGAAGAGCATCTAACCTGGAGACAGCGATGAAGAGGAGACAGAGGAGGGTTGAGATCTTCATGTTGGCGGTGGTGCTGGAGGACTGGCTAGCCACGTCATATGGCTAGGCAAGTTGATGTGTACGTTACCTGGGAACTCCAGCAGCAGTTGTGTCACAGACGGTACCCGCATCTGTTTTCATTAGTTTATTTGTAAGGGTTTATGTATTAATCCGTTTAGTGGTGGCTGTCGTTCAGTGGTGGCTGTCGTTCAGTGGTGGCTGTCGTTCAGTGGGAAGTATCGCCAGTGGTGGCTGTCGTTCAGTGGTGGCTGTCGTTCGGTGGTGGCGCTTGTTTAGTGGTGGCTGTCCTTCAGTGATGCCTGTCGTTCAGTAGTGGCTATCGTTCAGTGGTGGCTGTCGTTTAGTGGGAGGTATCGTTGACCTGTGGCTGTCGTTCAGTGGTAGCTGTCGTTCAGTGGTGCCTGTCTTTCAATGATGTCTGTCGTTCAGTGGTGTCTGTCGTTCAGTGGTGTCTGTCGTTCAGTGGTGCCTGTTTTTCTGTGACGTCTGTCGTTCAGTGATATCTGTCGTTCAGTGGTGTCTAGTTCAGTGGTGTCTGTCGTTCAGTGATGACTGTCATTCAGTGGTGTCTGTCGTTCAGTGGTGTTTATCGTTCATTGGTGGCTATCGTTCAGTGGTGGCTGTCGTTCAGTGGGAGGTATCGTTGACCTGTGGCTGTCGTTCAGTGGTAGCTGTCGTTCAGTGGTGCCTGTCTTTCAATGATGTCTGTCGTTCAGTGGTGTCTGTCGTTCAGTGGTGTCTGTCGTTCAGTGGTGCCTGTTTTTCTGTGACGTCTGTCGTTCAGTGATATCTGTCGTTCAGTGGTGTCTAGTTCAGTGGTGTCTGTCGTTCAGTGATGACTGTCATTCAGTGGTGTCTGTCGTTCAGTGGTGTCTATCGTTCAGTGGTGTTTATCGTTCATTGGTGGCTGTCGTTCAGTGGTGCTTGTCGTTCAGAGGGGCTGTTGTTCGGTGGTAGCTGTCTTTCAATGATGTCTGTCGTTCACTGGTGACTGTCGTTCAGTGATGTCTGTTGTTCAGTGGTGTCTGTCGTTCAGTGGTGTCTGTCGTCTAGTGATGTCTGTCGTTCAGTGGTGCCTGCCTTTCAGTGATGTCTGTCGTTCAGTGGTGTCTATCGTTCAGTGGTGACTGTCGTTCATTGGGGGCTATCGTTCAGTGGTACCGGTCTTTTAGTGATATCTGTCGTTCAGTGGTGTCTGTCGTTCAGTGGTGTCTGTCGTTCAGTGGTGTCTCTCGTTCAATGATGGCTGTCGTTCAGTGGTGCCTGTCGTTCAGAGGGGCTGTCGTTTGGTGGTGCCTGTCTTTCAATGATATCTGTCGTTCATTGGTGACTGTCGTTTAGTGATGTCTGTCGTTCAGTGATGTCTGTCGTTCAATGATGTCTGTCGTTCTGTGGTGTCTGTCGTTCAGTGATGTCTGTCGCTTAGTGGTGCCTGTCTTTCAGTGATGTCTGTCGTTCAGTGTTGTCTGTCGTTCAGTGGTGTCTGTCGTTGATTGGTGACTGTCGTTCAGTGGGCGCTATCGTTCAGTGGTGCCTGTCTTTCAGTGATGTTTGTCGTTCAGTGTTGTCTGTAGTTCAGTGGTGTCTATCGTTCAGTGGTGTCTGTCGTTCAGTGGTCGCTGTCATAAGAACATAAGAAAGGGGAACACTGCAGGAGGCCTGTTGGCCCATACTAGGCAGGTCCTTTACAATTCATCCCACTAACAAAACATTTGCCCAACCCAATTTTCAATGCTACCCAAGAAATAAGCTCTGATGTGAAAGTCCCACTCAAATCCAACCCCTTCCACTCATGTACTTATCCAACCTAAATTTGAAACTACCCAAAGTCCCAGCCTCAATAACCCAACTAGGTAGACTGTTCCACTCATCAACTACCCTATTTCCAAACCAATACTTTCCTATGTCCTTTCTAAATCTAAACTTATCTAATTTAAATCCATTACTGCGGGTTCTCTCTTGGAGAGACATCCTCAAGACCTTATTAATATCCCCTTTATTAATACCTATCTTCCACTTATACACTTCGATCAGGTCTCCCCTCATTCTTCGTTTAACAAGTGAATGTAACTTAAGAGTCTTCAATCTTTCTTCATAAGGAAGATTTCTAATGCTATGTATTAATTTAGTCATCCTACGCTGAATGTTTTCTAACGAATTTACGTCCATTCTGTAATATGGAGACCAGAACTGAGCTGCATAATCTAGGTGAGGCCTTACTAATGATGTATAAAGCTGCAGTATGACCTCTGGACTTCTGTTGCTTACACTTCTTGATATAAATCCCAGTAATCTATTTGCCTTATTACGTACGCTTAGGCATTGCTGTCTTGGTTTAAGGTTGCTGCTCACCATAACCCCCAAGTCCTTTTCGCAATCTGTATGGCTAAGTTCTACATCATTTAACTTATAAGTACTAGGGTTATGGGCACTCCCGAAGCTTCAGAACCTTGCATTTATCTACATTGAACTGCATCTGCCACTTTTCTGACCAAGAATAGAGTTTGTTTAAATCCTCCTGAAGTTCCATAACATCCACGTTTGAATCAATTATCCTACCTATGAAAGTTAAGACACATGTGCAACATCTGGATATCTTTATTGTAGACGTTTCGCCATCCAGTGGCTTTATCACCTTGACTCTATCCTACCTATCTTTGTGTCATCGGCGAATTTGCTCATATCACTAGTAATTCCCTCATCAAGATCATTGATATATATTATAAACAACAACGGGCCCAAGACTGATCCCTGTGGAACGCCACTTGTTACAGATCCCCACTCGGATTTAACCCCATTTATGGACACTCTCTGCTTCCTGTCAGTGAGCCATGACTCGATCCACGAGAGCACTTTTCCCCCAATGCCATGAGCTGCCACTTTCTTTAACAGTCTATGGTGCGGAACTCTATCAAAAGCCTTACTAAAATCTAAGTAAATAATATCAAATTCTTTATCGTGGTCAACAGCCTCTAAAGCTTTACTGAAGAAAGTTAATAAATTAGTTAGACAAGACCGGCCTCTTGTGAATCCATGCTGAGTATCATTAATCAAGCTATGCTTATCGAGATGGCTTTTTATAATCTCAGCTATAATTGACTCTAGTAATTTGCCTACAGTTGAGGTCAGGCTTATTGGGCGGTAATTTGACGGTAACGACTTGTCCCCTGTTTTAAAAATAGGAATTACATTAGCCATCTTCCACATATCAGACACTACACCTGTTTGAAGAGATAAATTAAAAATATTAGTTAATGGTTCACAGAGTTCCATTTTGCATTCCTTAAGAACCCTTGAAAAAACCTCATCAGGACCCGGCGACTTATTTTGCTTCAGTCTGTCTATCTGCTTCACAACCATTTCACTAGTGACTGTGATGTTACATAATTTATCTTCTTCAAGCCCACTATAAAAATTAATTACTGGAATATTGTTAGTGTCTTCCTGTGTAAAAACTGAGAGAAAATAATTATTTAAAATCGAGCACATTTCATTCTCTTTGTCAGTAAGGTGCACATAGTTATTTTTAAGGGGACCTATCTTATCTCTAACTTTTGTTCTATAGACCTGGAAAAAACTTTTTGGGTTAGTTTTAGAATCCCTAGCAACTTTAATTTCATAGTCCCTTTTAGCTTTTCTTATCCCCTTTTTAATGTCCCCCTTAACGTAAATATACTGATTCATAAGATGACCCTCACCTCTTTTGATACGCCTATAAATTCCTTTCTTATGCCCTAGTAGATATTTGAGCCTATTATTCATCCATTTTGGGTCATTTCTATTTGATCTAATTTCTTTATATGGGATAAACGTTCTTTGAGCAGCATGTATAGTGTTCAGAAAACTGTCATATTGATAGCTCACTTCGTTACCCCAGTCAACAGATGATAAGTGTTCTCTAAGCCCATCGTAATCTGCTAAGCGAAAATCTGGGACTGTTACTGAGTTATCGCTACTATCGTACTTCCATTCAATGCTAAATGTAATTGATTTGTGGTCGCTAGCACCCAGTTCCTCTGAAATTTCTAAATTATTAAGAAGGGATTCATTGTTTGCCATAACTAAGTCAAGCAGGTTATTTCCCCTTGTAGGTTCTGTCACAAACTGCTTCAAAAAAACAATCCTGAACTACTTCTAAGAAGTCGTATGATTCTAAATTCCCAGTCAAGAAATTCCAATCAATATGACTAAAGTTAAAGTCTCCTAGAATTACTACATTATCGTGCCTTGTGGCCTTAACAATTTCCTCCCATAGTAGTCTCCCTTGGTCCCTATCTAAGTTTGGGGGACGGTATATCACTCCTAAAATCAGTTTTTCATGCCCCTCTGAAAATTCTATCCAAACAGACTCTGTATGTGTTACTTCAGACTTAATACCCGTTTTTATGTAACAGTTCAAGCGATCTCGGACATACAATGCCACCCCACCCCCCTTCCCGATACTTCTATCTACTTGGAACAATTTAAAACCCTGAATATGACATTCCGCAGGCATGTCCCGACTTTTTGAATTAAACCACGTCTCAGTTAAGGCAAATACATCAATGTTACCTGCACTAGCAACTAATCTCAACTCGTCCATCTTATTCCTAGCACTACGGCAATTAGCATAATAAACATTGAAAGACTCTCCTTTCTCTTTACCCTTCCTGCTCATTTCTGTTTTTTCTACTAAACCTATTACTGTCCTTATCACCCAAAGTCCCTGGCTTTTCAATATATACCTCGTTCTGCTTATTACTAGTTCCCCTAGAACTCGCAATATTACTACACTGGGACTTCACTGTTTTCCTGCCAAAACCCATACCACTAACTATTCCTAGTTTAAAGTCCTAACTGCTCCCTCCACTGCAGTTGCCAGTGCTACCACCCCAGACCTAGATAAGTGAACCCCATCCCTGGCATACATGTCATTTCTGCCATAGAAGGGGTCCCAGTTGTCAATGAATGTTACCGCATTTTCCTTACAGTATTTGTCCAGCCAGCAATTGACACCAATTGCCTGGACAACCATTCATTTCCAACTCCTCTCCTTGGCAAAAATACCACATATGACAGGGTTCCCACCCTTACTTCCTAATTATTTCTATTGTTGACCTATAC